AACCAAATATACAAGAACACAATTATAATAGGGGACCTTAATACCTCATTGTCACAAAAAGATATAACAACTAGACAAAAAGTCAACAAAGAGATAACAGAACTGAATCATACTTGTGAGCAAATGGGCTTAGCAGACGTTTATAGAGTATGGTACCCAACAACATCAGAACACACATACCTCTCAGCTATGCAAGCGACAGTCTCCAAAATAGACCATATATTAACCCATAAAACATTCCTAAGTAAATGAAAAGGGATTTAAATTATCCCATGCATATTATCTGACCATAGTGCACTGAAACTGGATTAATGGCAAAAGAAATTGCAAAACCTGCATTAATACATGGAAATTAAATAACAACCTTCTGAACAACCAGAGGGTTACAGATGAAATTAAAGAAGAAACAAAGCAATACCTACAATTCAATGAAAATGCAGATACAACATACCATAATCTGTTGGATGCAATGAAAGCAGTCTTAAGAGAGAAATATATATAGCAATAAATTGTCATATCAAGAAAACAGAACATGCACAAAAAATAACCTAATTCTCATCTCAAGCATCTAGAAAAAGAAAAGTAAGTAAAACCCAGAGCTCATAGAAGAGAGGAAATTGTAAAGATTAGAGCAGAAATTAAGACAATTGAAACTAAAATAAATACAAAGAATTAATGCATAAAAGAGATGATTTTCTGAGAAAATAAACAAAATTGATAAACCTCTAGTCACTTTATCAAGAAAAAGAAAGAAAAAATTCAAATTCACACAACAAGGACTGAAAGGAGAGAAATTATTACAGATTCCATAGAAATTCAAAAGATCATTAATACCTATTTTGAAAATCTCTACTCACATAGAGTGGAAAACACAGAGGAAATGGACAGATTTCTAGAAATACATGAACTACCAAAGCTTAATCCTGAAGATATAACAATTCTGAAAAGCCCAGTATCAGCTACTGAAATTGAAAATGTGATTTTAAAAACTTACCAACAAAGAAAAGCTCAGATCCTGATGGATTCCTGGCTGAATTCTACAAGAAATTTAGAGAGGACTTGATGCCAATACTCCTTAAACTCTTCAATGAAATTGAAAGAGAAACAATCTTCCCTAACTCATTACTGGAGCTAAGTATTACTCTGATACCAAAACCAGAGAAAGACACAACTGAAATGGAGAACTATAGGCCAATCTCACTAATGAACATTCATGCAAAGATTCTCAATAAAATATTGGCAAATAGAATGCAGCAAATCATCAAGAAGATTTATTCATGACCAAGTGGGATTTATTCCAGGAATGTAGTGATGGTTTAACATATACAAATCAATAACATAATACACCACCATCAACAGAGCCAAAAACAAAAATCACCTGGTCATCTCAATAGATGCAGAAAAAGCTTTTGATCAAGTCCAACACATGTTCATGGTAAAAAGCCATACAGAATCTGGGAATAGATGGTATCTATCTCAATCTTACAAAAGCCATCTATGACAAGCCAATAGTCAACACTATACCAAATGAACAAAAACTGAAAGCCTTCACTCTAAAATCAGGAACAAGAGAAGGATGTCCACTATCACCATTCCTATTCAAATTAGTTCTGGAAATATTAGCCAGAGCAATCAGACAAGAGAGAGAAATAAAAGGAATAAAGATAGGAAAGGAAGAAGTTAAATTATCACTATTTGCAGATGACATGACACTCTATATAGAAGACCCCAAAAACTCCATTAAACGACTACTAGAATTAATAAACAAATTCAGCAATGTAGCTGGATACCAAGTTTACACTCAAAAATCAATAGCATCCCTGTACACAAGCAAAAAACTTACTAGGAGAAATTATGGAAATATCGCCTTTCACAGTAGCATCTAAAAAAAATGAGATACTTATGAATCAACCTAACCAAGAATATAAAAGACCTATATGCTGAAAATTATACTAATCTTAAAAAGGAGGTTGAAGAAGATAATAGAAATTGGAAGAATATTCCTTGCTATTGATTAGTAAGAACCAACATTGTGAAAATGGCCATACTCCCAAAACTATTATACAGATTTAATGCAATCCCAATCAAAATACTATTAACATACCTTACAGATCTAGATAAAATACTCCTAAAATTCATCTGCAAACAGAAGAAACCTAGAATGGCAAAGGCAACTCTGGGCAACAAAGGCAAGGCAGGAGGCATCTCAATTCCTGACTTGAAACTATACTACAAAGCTACAGTGATAAAATCAACAAAGTACTGGCAAAGAAATAGACCTGAGGATCAGTGGAATTGGTTAGAAGATGCAAACACAACTACAAAGACACTCAACCACCTTATATTTGACACTGGAAGACTGATAGCCCCTTTAATAAGTGGTGTTAGAAAAATTGGTTTTCCACATGCTGAAGACTAAACCTAGACCCATGCCTATCACCATGCACTAAACTAAAGTCTAAATAGATCGAAGATCTAAATATTGAAACAGAAACACTAAATCTACTGGAAGATAAGGTAGGTAGAAATCTTAGAGCCATAGGGGTAGGCAGAGAATTCATGAACAAAATGCAAATCACTCAAGAACTGCTTCAAAGAATCAACAACTAGGATCTCATATTATTAAAAAGTTTTTTCACTTCAAAAGAAATCACCAACAAAGTGAAAAGAAAACCCACAAAATGGGAAATAATTTTAGCCAGCTGTCCTTTGAACAAAGGATTTATATCCAGAACATTTAAAGAATTGAAAAACATCAAGACCCTCAAATTCAAAGACCCTCTCCAAAAATGGGCATCAGAGATAAACACACATTTCTCAGATGAAGATATAAAAATGGCAAATAAATACATAAATAAATGTTCCATACCACTGGTCATTCGAGAAATACAAATTAAAACAGCATTAAGATTCCATCTCACTCCAGAAAGAATGGCTGTCATCAAGAAATCAACTCATAACAAATGTTGGCAAGGCTTTGGGGAAAAAGGAACACTTCTCCACTGTTGGTGGGAGTGTAGACTGCTGCAGCCACTATGGAAATCACCAGGGAGATTTGTCAAAAAACTAGGATTGGAAGTTCCATTCAATCCAGCTACTCCAATCCTGTGTATTTTCCCAGAAAAAATGAAAATGTCATGTCACAAAGATATATGTGCACCAATGTTTACAGCAGCACAATTTGTAATAGCTAAATCTTAGAAACAACCAAGATGCCCATCAACTGCAGAATGGATGAAAAAGATGTGGTATTTTTATACAATGGAATATTACTCAGCTATAAAAAGGATAATCTTAAGGCTTTTATAGGTAAATGGAGGCAACGTGAGAGTATCCTAAGTGAAATAAATCAGTCTCATATTTGTAATTATCACATTGATACACTCCCTGATGTAAAAAGTAATAAAAACTGAAGGAATAATAAGATCCAAACTGTATAATAGACACTGTAAAACTGAAAGTGCTCTAAAGGATATAATTGTATGTATGGTTAAGTGTGTAAGATAGATAACCATGCTACCAAGTTTTTGTTAAATCATTGAACAGAATGGTTTGCACTGTCACTGTCTGACTGTCCACGTTTTATGCTTTGACTTTATAACTTGAACAACTATTTCTAAGATGATAATATGTAATCTATCAATTAGTGATTTCTTGTTATTATTTTTTTAATTCTGTATTGTCTCTACTCTTTTTTCTGTTTTTCTTTTTTTCTCTAAATAAAAAGAGAAGAAAAGGTGAACCTTGTTCTAAAGTTTCTGTTCCTTACTTTGGAGCAATAAATTTTGTGGAGTCCTTTATCACCAAATATAGTAAAGAACATACAAGTGTTCTTTACAGACTGTACAACTTTTAAAATTTTAGTTAATAAAGGTTTTAGACTAAAGCATATTTGCAATTCATATTACCATAATCCTGTGTATTTCACTGAAGGTTTGGGTAGCAAAGAAAAGGAAAGCAGCACAGTGAAAACAGGTAACGTCTTACTCCTCACAGCTTCATTAGATTTTACCCCACAACCAATGAAAGGAATCAGGGTGACTCCGCCGCAGCCTTCAGTAATTCTGGGTCTGGAACTTTTGGCCGCTGCACCACCATGGCCACAATCATGTGTGCGGTGAAGGCATGAAAGGACAGTGACGGATCTTTCACCACACCCAGGTGAACAGATCAGATCCTGAATCACGCACGGGAGGAGACGCGGGTGGGTTCGGCCAGCATCCGCCCGTGACAGCCTGTGCCACAAACAAGGCTGCAGAGAGCCCCCAGGAATCGGAGGTTGTTTCGGTGCTGGAAATTGAAACCAGGTCTCACACATCTAAAAGAACAGATTTTACTAGAAACATGTGGACTCTAATTCTTATATACATCATTGACATTAAGAGAAAATATTTAAGCAAAATATTTTTTTCTCTAGTAGGGAAAAAACGACAGTCAAGTTGATAGTATAATTTTCATTAAATAACTGCTTTTTAAATTTTTTCTTACTTTCATTAAGACTATGTCTTTCCATTTCCTGTTTATTATTATGTGTGTCACAGGGGAAGGGGGGCAAGCTGCCTGTTTGCTTTGGTGTTTTAGTAAAGCCCACATTTGGGATGCAAAATGATGTGATTACTGCTTTACAACAGCCTTCCTCCATCTGTAAAGTTAATTTGGGGGAATTTTTCAAATTTAAGAAGAAAAATACTTTCATAGAGCAATAGGGAACTTGCATGAATAATTCATATTTCACAGATGTCACTGATATTAGAAAAAAAATCACTTGATCTTTTTTTAAATACTTACATTTGGGAAGTGCTCAAGTATATTAAAAAGAAGATTATGGTTTATCAAAAAATAAGAAATTTAATTGCATGAGTTAATAAAATAATTTTGTCAAAATAAGTAAGAAAATCATTTGTATTAAGTTTATCTTCTAAGCAGCTCACTACACCCACAAAGTCAATTTCAGGAAACCATTCTGATTTAAATGCATGGAGAAAATCTGAATTTCCTACCTGAGACTGTGCGTTAATATTGGCTCCCTCCTTAACAAGGACTTTGACGACTTCTGCTTGTCCAGCCAAAGATGCAATGTGAAGGGCAGTATTTCCCTTCTGCTTTGGAGAAACGAAACAGAAAGTGTTAGAGGTTTTCAAATTTTGTACAAATCAAACTATGCAGGCATTTTTAAACTTTGCTGATATCTCAACTTATTCAATTACATCATTTTATGAAGGTAGCAATCAACCACATGAGAGATTTTTTTTAAACTATCAACAAAATGGTCACCTCATTTAATGTCTTTCTTTGTATTATCTTTGAGTGTCTTTCATAATTCTGGCCTAGTGTTAAAAACATAGGAAGACTGAGTTTTGAATCAAAAAATCTGGGATATGTATGCATGGATGTGTGTAAGTGACAACATCTCATGGAATTCATAGGAACCAAAAGGCCTACTGCAAAAGAATACTAACTTTACAAAAGTTTACTGGAACATCAAGTTTAATTCAACTTTCAAATAAACCTAGAAAGACATAACCTAGGAAAAAATAAACCAGTGACAGAGAAGCTGTCTTTGCTCAGAGTTGTCTTCCATCTACAAAGCCACGTAGTTGTTGTTCAAAGTATTTTGGGAATAAAGAAATAAATTTTGTATCAGTAATAATCTTGCCAATGATTTTTACCATTTGCAACATCAAATTTACCATTCACAACCAACTACCAACGAAAAATGACTTAAACCTTTTGTGGAAATAAAATGTAGGCCAACATTAAAAACTATTCATGATGTGATTAAAATAATATGTAAATTCTGTGGCATAATCCTCATATTCTAGTTCTAGAGTTTAAAGGAAATGAAAAACACAAGAATAATAATAAACATTTAAGTGACCAGAAAGTGATTGACTTAATGAATATATTAATGCTAATGGGGCAACTCAGAGGAAACAAAAATTTGATCTATATACCAATCATAATTTTATAAATACTCGTTCAACATTTAGTGGATGTGCCCAAGAGAAACATTACTTAAAACATTTCTTCTCTCTTTGTGAAATCCAGGTTAATAGGCCATATTTCTAATGCATTCACAAACTCTTTTTGGCCACCCTAGATGAGACTAACTCCCCAACCACAGGCTTGAGTATCTAACTTCCCTGTGCTTCTCCTACGTACTCTGCCACTCCAGCCCTGATCAAACATGTGTTACTGGCTGGCCCCTTTATGACAGCCAATGTACTGTGATTTTTCTAGAAAGTCTGGTGTTTATTAAATGAATCTCAAATAATTTAAAATATATCAAAAGCAACATCAACAAGGGAGCAATATTTTATAGTTACAGCAAGCATGTTGTATATTCCTTTACAAATGAGCCTTAGAGAGGAAAAGAAAGTGCTCTAAAGGATATAACCGCATGTATATGTAAGTGTGTAAGATAGATAACCATATGACTAAGTTTTTGTTGGATCATTGAACGGAACTGTTTGCAGTCTCACTGTTTGAATGTCCACTTTGAATGCTTTAATTTTGTAACTCGAACAACTATTTCTAAGATGACAATATGTAATCTATTAACTAGTGATTTCTTACTGTTTATTTTTTGAAATTCTGTATTACTTGTACCCTTTTTCTGTTTTGTCTTTTTTTCTTTTTAAATAAAATTTTTTTAAAAAATGAGCCTAAGTTCCTTACATACAACAATATTAGCGTTTAATCTTAGCATTATAATTCAATTACCAAAAAGCTCTTTTCCATTACAGTATAAAATATTCCAAATTCTCACACAAGTAGAATGAATACATTAAAAGATTCATCAGTTTAACTGAAGCATGAAAATTACTTATTCATTTCCATTGAAAAGTTACCATATCAATTTGTTAATTAGGAAATTAGCTGCTACTATCTACAAGGGAATATGTTAATCCTGTCCTCTTTGTCAATCAGAAGAAGGAAGACAATATTAAAAACTAGGTTTACAGATTTCTTCCAACTCATGTCTGATGAGTTCTTAAAACTCCCTGAAGTAGGGGCTGGGGATTTAGCTCAGCGGCATAAGTGCCTGCCTTATAAGCAGGCAGTCATGAGTTCATTCCCCAGTACTGATAAAAAGGAAAAAGACAGAAAAAAATACTGATAAAAAGGAAAAAGACAGGAAAAAAAAAAAAAAAGAAAAGAAAAGAAACTCCACGAAGTTTAGTGGAGGAGTTCAAGTTTTGGCCCTCTGTGGTTAAAAATTTTGGTGTGCAACAGCACCTCAGAATACCCGACTGAAAAAAAGAAGCTTTCAGTCAGTTCCTCTTTTCCATGGAAAAGCACCTGGGGCAGGAGAACATTACCTTGGTGGCGGAATCCACGGCGGAGCCTCTTCCCAGCAGCTCCTGCACCAGGCCCACGTGGCCTTCCTTGGCAGCCAGGTGCAAGGCATTGAGTCCATTCTGGGAAAAGAACAGCAAGGTCTCAGAAGCTCGGAAACGGACAGGGAGAGGGCTGAGCAGCGGGGACTGCCCGCCCGGGACACACACTCCAGTCTCTCTTCTGTTCTCTTTCTTTCTGCATCAGCTCCAATCTATCCGGCTCACACTCAGTTACAGTGTTTTTGATTCAGAGAGGCAAAAAGGTTAAGTGTTTACTAGAAACATTAATTTGACAACTTCATTTCCACAAATTCTTTCTCTAATACCCTAAATACTTTTCTAATGATAACAATTGTGTATCTTTTATCATGTTGGCTAAAAGTAAAATTCTGTCCCGCTTCTGAAATGTACAGAGCTTTAAACAAATTACACTTTTAACAAATGGAAAAGGAATATCCGTCTAAAGTAATTCAAACAGGACAACTTTTAAGGTAATGTACTCTTCAATGACAATACCATAATTAAACATACATTTAATGCTATGTCCCTGAGTGATCTATTTAAACAAAAATTTTTAATTTTTAATCTCAGACGATACTATAATTCCCTTGAAAACTAGTCCCCACAGTCCTGAAAAGCCTTATTTAGCACACATTACCTAAAAAGATCTACAAATTAAATGTAGATCTTATTAAAATACAAACTTTCTCTACAGACATACAAAAACATTCCTAAAATTCATATGAAACCACAAAAAATCCAAAATAGCCAAAGCAATCTGAGAAAAACACAGCTGAAGATACCACACTACCTGACTTCAAATAGATTACAAAGTTATAGTAACCAAAAGAATTTAAAAACAGACACACAGAGATATGAAACACACTAAGGAGACCAGAAATAATGACACGTATAGCTAATTGATTGTAAACAAAAGTGACAAGAATACACAATAGGAAAGGGCAGCCTTTTTAATAAGCAGGACCAAGAGAACGAGATAGGTACACGCAGAAAAATGAAACTAGACTCCTATCTTTCATTGCTTGCAAAATTCAACTAAAATAAAAACAAAAAGTATAAAACCATTAAAAGAAAACATAGAAAAATGCTTCATGACAATGGTCTGGGCACAAATATTTTAGATAAGTCCTCAAAAACATAGACATCAAAAGCAAAAGTAGACAGACATGGTAAAACCATATTAAAAAGTTTCTGCATAGCAAAGGAAACAATCAACAGAGTGAAATGACAACCTGTGGAATGGGAGAAAACATTTCCAAACTATACATCTGACAGGAAGTTAACACACAAAATACAAAAAGAACTAAATACAGAAAAACACAAAATAGTGAATAGACATTTCTCCAAAAAAAGCACACAAGTGAATAGTAGATATATGGAAAATACTCAATATCATTCTTAGGGAAATAGAAATCAAAATCACAACAAAATATAGCCTCACTCTAAGTCAAATGACTATTATCAAGAGAACAAAAAATTAACAAGTTTTGATGAAGATGTAGGGAAAAGGAAACCTTTACGCACTGTTGGTGGGGATGGAAGTTAGTACGACCAGTACAGAAAACAGTACAGAGTGTCCTCAAAAACCATAAACTAGAACAGCCATAAACGCTCCTAACCCACATAGAGTGTGTATCTAAAGGAAATAAGATCAGTATGTGGAAGAGATACCTGCATTTATTATGGCAGCACCCACAATGGCTAAGAAACAGAAACAACCTCAGGGCTCATCAGTGGATGAATATACACACTATTCTCCCATAAAAAGGGATGAAATCGTGCCATTCATTTGTGCTATCAGTGGTGAATCTGCAGGACACTATGTTAAGGGAAGTAAGATAGGCACAGAAATACGAGTATCACATGTTCTCACTCATATGTGGAATCTAAAAAAGCTGACTAGATATAGGCAAGTAGCAGAAAACTGATTACCAGAGTTTTGGAAGGGTAAGCAAGGGAGGCGGAGAGGCAGGTTATCTGGTGAGATGTCACAGGAGACATGAGCTCCAACCGCTCTTTTACATGGGATGGGGGATCACATTAAACAACACGCACTGTATATTATAAAGTTACAAGACAAGATTTTGAGTATTCTCACAATGAAGAAACAATAAATACAAGCTGAAGCTATGAATATGGTAGTTATCCCAGTTAAACATTACATAATTGTACACATGTATTAAAACACATCCCATCCCATAAATATATGCACATAAATAAATGCACATCCCATAAATATCATAAATATATGCTCCAGGACAATGTAATGGTTGATTCACTGTATTAGCTCCAGAAGTTTAGAAGTATGTGACTCAGCAGGGAGCCAGGGTTGTCACTTGGTAAACAGCCTGAGGCTGAGCAAGAGGAGGACAGGGAGAGAGTGCACATTAGACCTCCCCGAGGGCGGTAGCCTGTATACAATGAAAGGGACGAAAAGAGGCTCGCTTCCCCTTTGTGCTCTTGTTGCCTTTGCTCTTTTGTGCCCCCTTGAACTGCTGCTCCTCTGCCATGCAACCCTGCTTTGGAGCCAGCTGGTCATGGCTTGAAACCTCTACAAACTGTGAGCTAAATAAACCTTTCCTTCTTTAATTTTGGGCATTGGGTACTTCATCTCAGCAACAATGCAAAAGTAACCAAGACAGTATTAATACTTGAGCTTTTTACTTCCCTAAAATCTTTATTCTACATAATCTCCTGAATAGTGTCTCACTGATTTGCCTATGTGTTTAAAGGAGAAGTCTTAGTATTTGTATGTATAATATACTATGTAAATGTTGTGGAATATAGATTAGCTATTTCAGTAAGAATCAAATGTCCTAGTCATTGGAAATTGTCTAGATGATCTAGCAAATTAGTATTTAAATAGTTTTACATTTCAAGACATCTGTGATCAGAAGTTCCTTCTTTCCTTCTGCTCAACTCTGACCTCTGTCTCCATCTAAGATTCCAGCATGTGAGAGTTTGAAAGGACTTTCAAAATTAAATAGTCTAGTAATTTACCTCACACTTACCCTAAGATCTGCAATAAAGGATCTATTTGACAAATACTGTTGGAAGACTTAGTGAATCTAAGAAGAGATTAAAGGGAATATTTCGGTAAAGATTGTCATTTTGAGACAGGTCTGCTATGCAGTTCAGGCTGGCCTTGAGCTTACCTTGTAGCCCAGGCTGGTTTCGAATTCATAATGATGCTCTGCCTCAGCCTCCTGGGTGCTGGGATTACAGTACTTAGCATGTTTGAAATGTAAAGATAGTAGTCTCTAGAGGATATGAGCTTTTGTAATCATGGTTTTAGCCCGAATGGGATTGGAGATACTTAGAGGTATTTTTTCAGATGTTTGAGGCCTCTCGGAACTACCAGGCTCCCTTTCTCAGCGCTAAGACCATAGAAACCAGTAAGCCTCCAGCTTGGGAGGCCAACAGTTGACACGTTCAAGTGACCAGAATCTCTTTGTCTCTGACTTTCAGGGTTGATCCACTTTACAAACTTTTTTCTACAGTTAGGGGTGTAAGTGATCATTTTTATTTTATTTGCTGTTCTGAAATTCTCCAGTTCAATGGCAAGGCCTTGTTGGTGGTCACATGTACCTTACTATAAGAGTTTTCCAATGAGGTCACTTTAACATTTTAAAAATAGTATTAGCAGATGCCAATGTTTCTTAAGTATTAAAAAAAAAAAGAGTTGACCATGTCCATTGACATCACTAGCCAGGCAAAGATGGAGAAGCACCCCACAGTGTGTTCCCCTAAGCCCTTTGACCACACAAACAGATTCAGCTTTCGAATGCCTTTGGTCTCTGTGCTATCACCAGTCAGAGGAAGAAGAGGAAACCTTTCCTCAATATTTGCTAGTAATTTCTTCCCAGTTCCTTAATTTTAATATTTACCAATATCATGTGTTTCTATCTTGTCACAGCGAAAATGTTTTGCTATGAAAATCAGCAATAATTAGAGCAGAGCTTTACTGCCTAGAGGCAGTATTAAACACCTACCTGCAACATCACTGTTTGAACCCAAGGTTTGAGAAGGTGTGACAACAGTTGTTTTTAAAAACTGCAACCTGGAAAAACAATGGCTCCTCAGTCAGCAACTTCTCTAGGGTAAAGTAGTGTCTGATTTTCACTTAGCTTTAAAATTCTATGCGGCATAAGCCCATGGGGAATCTTGTTCAGAGCTGAGCTGAGTTGACTTGAGTGTGCAGTACTAATGATTGAACCCACGATCTTCATACTCAGTTAGATTCCTAGCTTTTTATTTTTATTTATTTATAACCTTTGAGACAGGGTATCATTGTTACTAAATTGGCTTGGCTGATGTCTAACTTGCGATCCTCCTGCCTCAGCCTTCTAAGTAGCTAAGATTACAGGTATGTACCACCACAACCAACTTGTTTCCATTTTTAATAAAGAGCCAAGCATTAATAATTCACCATCAGTTTTTATTGCTTAAAATAATTGTTGGGGACTTGAGAATGGTCTCCTCCACAGTGCTACGCTGAATGCCGCTTTCCACAGACTCAGAATATAAAGATGTAGGGAATAAAATGTCTAAAAGGTTTCAAAATATCTCTTTGATTCCATGAATGACCACCTCTCTGTGATTTAGAGAATTTACAACACATCTCAATTTCCTTGTACTGAAACTTTAGCTCACCTGAAAAGTTTGTTAACTCACTGCACCCCAGGATATCAGACTACCACATTCCCTAGTTTCATGTTTCAATAAATGTATACACAATTCTTTTTAAATTAACATAACAAAGAAGACTGTAACTTCAAATAGAGCTGAGCAGATACAATCGTTAGACTTATGAAGTCCAAATATATTATAAATTAATCAGGTTTGGATGTTATTCTCAGGTGGATCCCACTAGTAAATTACTCAGCTAACTCTACAGATTTCTCTTCATGAATTTAAAATGTAGCCTTTGTCATTTTAATAAAAGGAAACCCTTCCCATTAGTAGGAGGCAATCAAGTACTTTCCCCAATGTTTTTCTAGCTTTCCAATAATCAAGGCTGGGCCTTTAAATTAAAAAAGAAATTTTTAAGAAAAAAAAGA